GTTCAATCAAGTCTCATAGGCCTATATACATTCTCAAGCACCTACATGCCAAGTTTCAAGACTCACAATGCCAATTTGCACAGTCAAAAGCTCCATTTGATCTACAGACAACTGCAAGGGCAAAATGGTCATTTTGCAGTCAAAAGTCAGAATTTTTTGTCAACGTATTCTTTTGAGTTCACAATCATCATTTGATCAAGTCTTGATCATGATTCCACAATAATAGCTCAAAAATCATCAAGATGCAAAAAGTTACTATTTTTGGACAGTAGAAAAGTCAATTGTACTTTGACCAGGGCATAACTTTTTCATGGTTTATCATAAAAATCCCATCAAATGCTCATTTTGAAGGGGATGCAATTTCCTACAATCCATCTTCACACTCCAAGTTCAAGAATGCTCTCACAAGAAGTTACCAATTTTTACATTATAGGTCAATTTCAAAAGTCAACAAAAATACACTTTGAGTCAAAGGCCATAACTTGAGATTGGTAAATCCAAATGACATGGGACCAAAGGCATTGGTTAGAGGACTTCAAGAGCTTTCCAAAATTTCACAGAAAATGGTCATATGATCAAAGTTGAGCAAGTTGTGCATTGGAGAAGTTGGGAAATTTTTATGAATTTGCAAAAGTCAACTTTGCTCAAAACACCTTCTTTTTGCTAATGGGCCTCAAATCTCTTGTTGAAACTTCACCCATGACCTATTCACGACCCATCAAGATTAATTGGATTTATTTTCTTATTTTTATTGATTAATTGGATTTTTAATTAATATTAATCCATTTAATTAATTTAAATCATAAGAAAATAGAAGATTTGATTTTTTAAATCAATTTGTGAAGCAAATATGATCAAAACATGCTGGAAAATTCGTGCACAAGTCAAAGATACAAAAAAATCCAAATTTGGCAACATTGTGAAAAATCAAGAATATTTTATTTTCAATCAAAGATTTAAACATCAATGCACATGGATTGGATCCAAAACTTTGACCTAATTTGTTTCCCTTATACATAAGCAAGCTAACCATACCCTAGCACATGATTGAAAGCTGCAGAAACAGCCATAGCAAATTCAAGAAATTTCAAGAAAAGTGGAAACCTGTTCTTGCAATCTAGGCCAATTCAAGGTGTTCTATTCATTCAAACATATTGCAGGAGGTCTCAGGAATGTTTTACAATCAAATTCAGGCACTGAAGCTCAAGGAATCGTTGCACACAGTTTCACGGTTTGCCTTTTTATTCAGAATTATATATCTTAATTCATGCGCATTTAACATGTTTTAGTGATTGTTTTGCATTGCTAGGGACCATACAAAGCTAATGGCATGATTGAATTAAACTGTAACGCCCTGAATCGTGAGATGCCATGGTCAAATATCTAGGGTTCTTGAGCTTTCAAATTGGGCTTTCTGAACCAGGAAAAATTGGGACTCATGAGATACATGACTGAAATCGTGAGACCAAAACGAACACAATCCATACCTCGCGAAATATTTATATGTATTGTGGTGCTATTCGTTATTTTTCCTTACAGGAGTTAGTGGGGGTTAAAAACCCCCGCTATTTGATATTATTTATGCAGGACAAACGAAGAAGATGATGAGGTGTTGGCATCTGATTGGTTGATTTGAAAAAGCGCGCGTTTGTTTTTATTTTACAGCATATTGGGTTGTTTGCATATATAATAATTGCCTATTATCCAAATAATAAAAAGGTGCAGGTGGTTGAGTGGTGAGCGTGTTGGCCTGGAAGCATTAGGACCTGGGTTCGAATCCCAGGTCCCCCCAAAACATTTGTGCTATTTTGTTTCATATATTCACATGCAGGTCTCAAAAGGGATGTCTACCATATGCTTCAAACCCCAACACGCCAGGTGTCTCCAAGCCTGGATCCAGTGGCCAAAATTGAAGGACCACCATACTCCCTGGTCAGCGCATGCGTAGCAAACTCAGAAAGTCAAACAGGCTGGAGAGTTAGTGGGCCTGGAAATTGCTCTTGTCACTCCAGAATTGGGCCCAACACCCCCCTTCAAGTTTATTTTGTTTCTCTTTTTTTTTTTATTTCTTTCATTTAATTATATTTTATAATTATTATTTTCACTAACAAATTAATATTTATTTTCCTAATAAAAATCAGAAGACATAAAAAATATAATATTTTTATTTATTAAATTTAATTATTTATTTTGTAAATAAATACTAACATAATTAATTTAGTTTTTAATTAGGTTAATTCTAACTTTTTTGCAATAATTTAAAATTAATATAGAATTAGGGTTTTTTAATAACTTTTGACCATCTTTTATTTTTTTCCTTAAAAAACATTCAAAACTCAAAAAAATATCCTTTTTATTTAATTAATTAATTGGTCTAGGCTTAATTTAATTAAATGCAAAATAACAAAAATCTCTTTCTTTCTCAAGAAAAAAGGGTCAAAACCCTAAAAAACTCTCTGATCCAATTTTTCTCGCGCGTGTGATTATTCTTGATTCGTATTTTGATCATACTATGTATTTGCTCCGAGGATGTAATAGCTTTAATTAGGACTTTTTATCGCTTTCATTTATTTTCCACAATTTACTTTTCCAAGGGTTTGTTTTTGGCGATGTAAATACCCGACGCCTTGTAATAGCTTAGTTTACTTTCCGCAACTATTAACTGCTAGATGTATGCTAACTAGGCTATGCATGTCAAGATCTATCTGAAAATTAAAATCAATTGTAGCTCACCATAACATGTACAAAGATAACATAACTGAAACTTGACACACTCGCACATGCCACTCCTAGGGTACGCCTCACTTGATTGCCTCGACGTGGTCATTGAGTATAGGGTGTTTTAGAGGTCGCCCTCCTGTCTAAAGATCAAAGTTGCCTCGAAACAGTTGCCTCGATAAAAAAGGATCTAAGACATTAGGGTTACCGCTAAGGTGTCCTACCATTGCTTTAGTGACCACATGTCCCATAATCGAATTGACCCGAAAACTCCAACGACGGTGCTACCTACTTCTCAATAGTGGGATAGCACTGTCTAAAGGACATTTACACAACTTAATTTCTTTTGAGTAGGTAGAGGTTCTCAGGTACTTGCTCTTTCAAAACAAAAATACTTTTCACACTTACCCTTTTTCAAACAAAAGTTTTCAAAAAACACTTCATACACTCTTGAGGACAGATACAAGAGTTAAATCGAAGTTTTCAAACAAAACTCTTTTCAAAACCCACGAACACAAGAAAAGCAAAACCTTTTGAAAACATAGTGAACAAGTACCTAAGAGCCCGTGGATAACCACGGATAGAAAGGGTGCTAACACCTTCCCTTTCTATAATCTACCTCCCGAACCCGAGAAACATATCGAAAAGGAATTTTGCTGTGCTTTTGTCCTTTCCTTGTTTGAGAAAATAAAAGACAATGGCGACTCTTGCTTACCGCGACATTTTGCGAAACGCAAACGCGAACCAGCATTCCAAAACAGTCAGTTCTATTTCCACCGATCACACTATGTTTTTTTAATGAATTTTAATTAAATAAGGCTAAATAAACAAAAAAATAAAAAAAGGGGAATATTATGGGTTGAACTCAAGACCTCAAGATTGCAAAGAAATTACCTTACCATCACACTATACTTATTTGTTGTAATATATATGCTTTAGTTAAAACAAAAAGGGAGATGATGGAATATGATTGGGTTAACAGGCCCCAATGGACCGGCCCGATTCAGCTAAGGTAAAGAAAGGGTTTTGGGGAACCCTAATTGTAATATGGGCGCCGCTGGTGAACCTTGGGGAGAGGAAAATTTGTAATTAATTTTTTAATTCTTAATTAATTGTAAATAGAACAAAAAAAACTCTCTCTCTCTCTCATAAATCGTTCATTCACGATCTCACGACCTTCACGATTATGTCTTTCTCTTTCAAACTCAACCAAGCCTCTCAAACGATTTCCTTCATCTCTGTTTCTAAACTAATTTCCACTCAGCTTCATCTCTCAAATTTAGAAAATCAATAACATATCATCTCAGTTCTCATTCGGTTTTCTTATTGAACAGGTATCTCTCATTCTCACGCGCAATTCTGCTATATTTCAACGCTCTCTCGGTCACTCTCTATCGTGAAACAACAATTGATTGCCCACTTCTTCTTCTTAAATGACCCTCTTATTCCAATATTTCAAGGTAAAACAACAATATACTCTCTCTCTCTCTCTTTTGCCGCTTTTCTCTCGCCTCTCGACTATGCTATCATCGCTCAAACTTTGTTCGCCCTTCGTGACGATACTTTCTCATGGCTCATTGCTTTACAAATTTGGGTAATAAAGACAAATATGAAATCAACACTGTCTAAAAAACACATAGTGAAAAGTCAATCAGTTCTTACCCTCACGATTCGATATCAATATTGGCTCTCAGCGATTCACATTTATTCGAAAAATACAAAATGAGTTCTCATGTTTTTTTAAAATAAAAAGAGTTTCAGTTCATCTCTATTTAAATCATTTCAATCAATGTTTACCAATTTCTGTTTCTCTATTCTGGTTCCAATAACGACACATTTTTGTTCATTTTTAAACTCACTCAAAGGGAATGATTTATATCACAGTTCAAACAACAATAAGAGCAACAAATATGAAGAGAGAGAAACAATGATATTCAGGTGAAAATGCAGACAAAAGAGTAAAGCAAAGAAGTACCTATCGGAGTCTCTCCGATGGAGTTTCTTGAAGAAAAGTGGTGAATTTACAATCTTCCTTTATGCAACGTTATATATTCCAGTTTCCCTCCTTCTATTCTTTTTGTTATGTTGGTGCTTGGTTTGGTAATGACCTTTTTTACAAAAGTTATGAAGTTTGGTGTTTTTGTATGTGAACAAAAGTTTTGAGATATCTTTTTTGTGTTATTTTTCTCCTTCTTTTTCATTTTTGATTTCAAGTTGTTGTGGTGATTCTGAAGATGACGCCTGGTGGTGTGTGATATGGATGGTGACGGTGCAGGTTTATAATGGTATTAATAGCTTCCGGTTATGATGATGGAACTATTGCTGAAGTTATTGCATTTTGTATGTGTGATGAAGATTTGTTGTTTGGAGGAAAGTTAGTTTATGGTGATGAAGGTTTGAAATGGAAGATGGATTATAGGCTACGGGTTCTGAGTGAAGTTGAAGGGAAGTTCTAGGTAGAGTGTTGTTTGCTTTGTAAAATTATAAAGATTATGAGGAAGGTTGCAGTTTAGAGGGAATATTGAGCAAGGGTTTGATGGATTTTGCTGCAGAAGATGGTTTTTCGCAGGTTTTGGTATTTCACACTGATGATTTGCTAGAGGTGTTTGAAAGTAGTTATGAGAAAAAAATTATATGAGATAGTTGGTGCACTGGAGGAACTGTGTGGAGTTTTTTCTTGTAAGTATTTTTCTATCCCTTTCTCATCTCCTCTCTCTCTAATTTTTTGCTGTGTTTTTATAGTTAAATGGAGGTGGATTTTGGGGGGGAAAGTTGATGAGGTTTGAAATGTTTTAGGTAATGCTCTATTGCCTTTCTTGATGAAGATTTTTTGTTTTACCATTTTTGTGCAATGTTGACAGGTTTTGGAGTGGAGTGGATAGGTTTTTTGGCATGTCTCTACAGGCTAGTAGCAGTTGGTTTTGGGACAGCATAGGAGATTGTCTTTGCAGGGACTGTTTTGGTCTATTTTGGAGCATGAAACAAGATGTAAAGAGACAAGGCAGTAGGTTATATTGGACTGTTATGAAAGGTTTTATAGGTTGGTACAACAACTAGTGCAAAGTGTTAGACTGATGTTCTTGGACTTGTGTGGACAGCAAGAACATAGCATAGCAGCTTTTGGAGTGTAGAAGCTTGTAGCAAGTATTGTCTGGTTTGGCATTGAGTAGGATGGGTTTAACACAATATCCCTTGTATAAAAATACTTAAAAACCTCTTTGTAAATCTTCTTGAAGAAGTTAAGATCAAATGATATTTGTATGGATTTGTTTTGAAATCAAATCAATGAAATTTCATATGTTTCCACACAAACTTTATCTAAGTTTCATGTTTTTTACTTCTAACCTTGAAATGATGTTGGTGATGCAATACATTAGAAATTGAATGAACTTGTAACCTTGTAAAGTTTTTACATTTCAAGTGCCCTTACCAAACTTAACATTTTCTTTTGACCTTTCGATAAATTGGATGCATCGCCATGTTCAAGTGTCTTCAAATAAATGGATGAAACTTGTAATTCCAAACTCAATAAATTAAACATTTGAATCCACCCACTTTGAATCTCGAAATAATTGAATAACTATGGCTTAATTTCCAAGCGACGTGACTTCTTGGATTCTAAATAATTCACATGCATGGATTTTTATTTTCGAATCAATTCTTGAGAAAAACACTTAATGAATTCAAGAAATATCACGTGGCTTGAAAAACTAGTAAACCTAACACAAGAAAATCCATGTCTTAATAAATTATGACGCTAATTGAAAATAGAGGTCAAGAAATGGCCTATAATGTTTCAATATAATTCACGGTTTCAGAATGCATTTTACTTTTGATCCTCTGAGCAAACTTGTAGATGGAATTATTTGTAATAAGTTGCAAAAATAATCGTATCAAAACATTGAAAATTGAGGAAGTTATGATTGTTCAAACTTGATCTTGAAAATGTCGACCTTTTGGTCAAAGTGCTATGAATCAACTTGTAAACTTGATCATTCCTCGCATTCCCAGACACATTGATGCACACGCGAATCAGTGATGATGAAATCTTGACTATTCTCTTGAGATTATAGGATAAACTTTGATGAAGTAGTCTTTGATAATTGGTGATTCACCATACTTGAAAACTTGAGGGATCCAAAACCCTAATTAAGGCTCAGTGCCTGATACTCTTGATCCAGACCTGTCTCTGCACATGAAATCATAGAAACAGAAACATACACTTTTTTATTTGATTAGAAGTTAGTGATGTATAGGATAATATGTTCACAACACTTGATAATCTTTACATAGGCAATTATTGAAGGTGGGAGGATTAAAAACCAACTGTATTTCATGACCTTAATGTTATACGAAAAATGCAAATAAAGATAGGATCTTAGGTCAAAAATTAGGGTATGACACATGATTCTTGAGACAATCAACCTAGGAAGTAGATAGGCTCTCCAAATATCAACATCATCTGTATCTTCAGGAGAAATTTCAAAGAGGGATCTTGTGAACCATTCGGGTCCATGTGTCATACTAGCGAAAGGAGCCATCGAAGTACTGAAGATATGATGTTTTGAAAACATCTTCGGCATTTGAATTAAGTTGAAGATGCCTAAGACTTTCCAGGATTGGGATTTGGCCTTTTCGACTTTAGTCAGCCAAGTAAGATATTATTTATCTTCTACAGGGTAAGATCTAAAGGGTCTAAAGCTTTCAATAACATATTTGAACTGAAAAGGTTTGTTTTCAGCTACAGTAGTTAAGGGAATTTCTTTTGGGATTTTTTCTACAAAGGATTTTGCTAATAGCTTATCAGGGTTATTCTCTCTTTTCTTAAAGGGTTTAACTTTGTTAACAATGGATTTTGTATCATAGTAAACTGGAAAAAATTTCTTAATTTGTTCTAAGCAGTCAACAAATAACATGTGAACCATATATCCTAGGGCTTTATCAGCGTGAGTAAATGGAATTATTGCCTAAGAAGCATAAATTTCTTGTTGCTCAGCAGTAACAGATGGTGTTGGAACATGTTCTTGATTTCCAATGATGATAGGTTTGGAGATGTGATGAATCGGCTTGAATGCAGCATCATTCATGATTTTCACTTCTTTATTCTTCACGTTTTTGTCATATTTACCTCCTTTCTTTGATGGTGCCATAGTTAACAAGTTCAAATTCTTGATCGTTTGAAGGTTTTTTGAGAGAGAAGGAGAGTGAAAATTTTGAAATCAGAAGATTAAGAAGATGGAAAAGTGTATTTGGGGAAGAAGAAGAATATTTATAGCTGAAATTGTTCAGTTATTATTTTTTAAAATTGGAGTTAGTGGGACACGTGGTGGCTCATAACAAGTTGATATGAGAGGTTGTTTATTGAAAAGGCACATTGGAAACCTACTTCTATAGAAATGTTGGAACTGCTATGCGCACGTCTTGATTACAAATTTTGAAAAAGTAAGCTATGATTATTCTGACGTCACAATAGTTATTATCCATCACGAGAGTTTTCTTTTCGTCAAAATATACTCTTACAAAGAAATGTATGTTTTTCAAGAAATTCGAAAAAATACATTTTTTGGGGGCAATTTGTTAACTGGAAATTTCGACTACATGAGTTTTAGTTGAATTAATACATTTTGGATGATGTGATTCGAAGGAAAGAATAAAAGAGTCCATGAGAAGACTTTGATAAGTGAAGAGCTAAAAGTGAAGCTTTAATTTTGCTAAGTGTTGGCGAAAGGACCGTATACGGACCATGGAGATATCAAGCTTATTCGAAGTATCAATGAGCATGCTTCAACCATCACATTTTAGCGTTTTGAAGATAAGGAGTTTCAAATTCAAAAAGATTAATCTTATCCAAAGAGACACGTGGAAGCTTGGAATTCGAAGATACATGCGATTATCGAACGTGGTGTCATATTATTTAGAGACCGTTTGGCCGAAATTAGTATAAATAAGGGTCTTAGTGTTAAGATTCGGTGTGTTAACATCTTTTGTTCCAATACTCAAATCACTCAAAGTATCAGCGTTAAGAGAAAAGATTTTGTGAGAATGTATGTATGATGCACTATTGTTACATTTATAGTCATTCAATTTTATTTGAAGTTTTATACATTCCATTTAAATTTTAGTCGAAAGCCTTTTACATTTCAGTCTTATCTTTAAAGTATTATGTTACTATCTACGAAATAATAATTGAATTAACATTTATCTAAAATAATGAAGATGTTGTGGAAAATACTCTTTTTTATAAGAACATAAAACATTAAATAAGAACACATGTACTTAGGATCAATCTGATCGATCCTTCCAGTTACCATTTCTACAAAGATTTGGAAGATCATCGGTTGTTTACTAAATTCCATGGTAAACAAGCATCTAGTTCGACAAGGAGCAGAACGAACATCCTACTCGAGAACAAAGAAGGTGCCGTAATCGAGCATTTGCTCATTTTATTTTTCCTGACGTCAAACAACCAAGTCGAATATGAAGCGCTGCTCGCAGAGCTTAGGCTGGCTGAGGATTTAGGTACCCAAGAAGTACAAATCTTCACCGACTCCCAACTTGTTGCGTCCCAAGTTCGAGTAGAGTATCAGGCCAAGAATGACAACCCCATTGAATACTTGACCCTGGTAAGAGAAAAAATGAAAATGTTCAACCACGCAAAAATCAAACATGTTCCCCGCGAACAAAACACTCGAGCTGACATGCTCTCGAAACTTGTGAGCACAAGGAAGAAGTGCGAGAATAAATCAGTCATCTAGGAATCCCTTTCCATCCTGAGCATCGAGAAACCTAGTGTGTCGCTCGACATAAACGCCATTGGGGACAGTACCTGTTGGATGACCCCAGTGTTAAATTACCTCACTAAAGAGGAACTACCATCCGACTAAAAAGAGGCAAGCGCGACAAAACACCAAGCTTTCTCTTACGTTTCGGTCGAGTAGAAAATGTATAGGCGGGGATTCTCCATCCCACTCCTAAGGTGTATCGAGGAAACCAAAGTCCCCGACATCTTCCAGGAAATCCATAAAGGTATCAATGCCCAACACCTAGGCAGAAAGTCCTTGGCGCGAAAGACGATGCGAGCAGGATATTACTGGCCCATGATGCAGTAGGACGCCAAGGAGCACATCAAAAAGTGCGATAGATGCCAACGCCATGCGGATATAAACCTGACACCTTTGCACGTGCTCCAAACATTATGTTCCCCGTGGACTTTCTCCTGGTAGGGAATGGACATCCTCGACCCCTTCCCCCAAGGATCATACCAGAAAAAATTCATAATCATCGTCGTTGATTACTTTACTAAATGGATAGAGATCGAATCCCTCTCCAAAATCACATCGCACAATATTCTTCATTTCTACAAAAGAAATATACCCGCCCAACTCGGCGTACCGCAAGCACTTGTCACCAAAAACGGGACATAATTCACCGACAAGAAGTTCTAAGATTTTGTTGCTAAGCTCGGAACCAAGCAGCATTTTACATATGTCGAGCACCCTCAAATGAACGAGCAAGCAGAAGCCGCGAACATGGTCATCTTGTGGGGACTTAAACACAGACTAGGCAAGGAGAAGAAGGGGTGAGTCTAAGAGCTCCACAGTGTGCTCTGGGCTTACAGAACGACATTCTAGACAACTACCAGGGAGACACCTTTCCGACTAACATACGGTACCGAAACAGTCATCCCCATAGAAATCAGGGTGTCGTCTAGGAGAACTAAATCCCCTCTCCAGGAGGAGCTAAATGAAGAAGCCTTGAGAGAGGAGCTCGACCTGGTCGAAGAAATTCGATCAGGAGCATCTCTTCGCGAGGCCAAATTAAATTAACAGATAACTTTGCGACATGACGCCAAAGTCATAAAACGCAAGTTCCAAGTCATTCTCGTGAAGGAAACTGGCCTCCAACTGGGAATCCCCTACTGCGTCTACAATAAGACGAGCAATGGAGAATATTACCTCGAACACCTAGATAGGAAACATCTACCTCGACCTTGGAACACTGATAAGCTAAAACAATATTACAGCTAAGTCCCAAACCAAAGTTGGGGCTTGGAAGTCGACCCGACTTCTTCAACATAGACATGTCTTGCTTGGCCATGAAAGCATGTTGAAGTACAAATATTGCATCTAATGAAAGGCAAATCTTTGCCCATTGGACGAGCAGGATTTTAGCCTGATGGGGACACCTTGACCAAGCTCCGCCTTCGTTGTACCAAAGAGGCAAAACTCCCAACTCGCTATGGGACTGTTCATGCCGTGAGAATAAGGTCCCTAACGCGGCCTTGGCCTCGTCCCAACAAAATCCAAATCCATATCCCCGACACGTCTCCATACATTTCCATCCATCAATAAACAGGTCGAGCACAAATTCCCACACATTAAATGAATATGACAAGCAAAACGTCAAAACAATACTACAGATAAACATGCGTAGTAAAGCATTCAAAAAATCCGACCACAAGGGCCGACATTGTCCATATGTTATATAAAGAGGGGCACACAGGCCCAAACTAAAAGCAGATACACAAAAACTTGGCAAAACCTCTTGTCCAATCATTAAAGAAAGATTTGGCATGCATGCCAAATAAATGCACGGGCACGCAGGCCCAAAACTAAATTAATCTTCGTGCCCATCTTCTTCATCGTTCGACTCCTCCTCGGGGTTATCATCGGGAGAAGTAATTATAACTCCATCAACCACTTGGTTAAAAGGCATGGTCCCTTTGGTTACGAGCTTGACCTCGACGTTGACAATTTTAAGTTGCTTCACAACAATATTGAAGCCATACCCAAGGGTGTCCACCATGTCCTGCTCGAGTTGGCGAATCCAAGAAATCAGCTCTTTCCTAGTCTAAAGAGCCTCCTCCTAGAAGGTTTCCTCATTAGCATGCGCCACGATCCCCTCCAGCTCCTTTTCTCGGGCAGCCAATTGTTCATTCTCCTTGATCATGTTGTCCATCTTATGTTTTAGCCTGTTCAACTCCATGAGGAGCCCGACTTGGATCTTATATTTCGACTGATGGTCAAGCAGATCGTTCTTCATCTTTTCATTATACACCTTCAGCTTGTCAGTTCACGAATTCGCTTTTTCAATAGCGGCCTGGCAGCACGTCGTCACGTCATTCATGGTCAAAGCAGTCTCAAGAACCCTCATTATGGCGACCACGTCCTCTGACAGATTCTTTCACCGAGTCTCCTTGTCCACGGACACAATGGCTTCCCTCTCCGTTTTGTGAAGATCTAGGGAGTTGTCCCCTCCAAAAATATTGTGGTTGAGGTAACATGGAGACAGCACAAAGGACTCTCCAACATTTTCGCCTTTATCTGAAAAAGACCCCACGCTCAGGACCTTCCTTGCACCGCTTCTTTGCGGGCTGCTTAGGGGGAGAAAATTGATCACCTCGAGGAGAAGAGGAACCATCGACATGGGCATCAAGTTTGGTCTGCTTCTGGATCTAAGCAACTCACCTTTTGGGCAACTTCAGGCCACCTTTGCCCCTCAGCTTGAGCAGATGTTCCTCATAATATTTATTACAGGCACGCCCCATATCTAGGAGTCTCAAAGACTCTTCGTCAGAAGAACATTCGAGTTGCGCTTTCGTATTTATCAGTCGAGAAACATAGACATACCGCCCTTATAATCAAGAATGAAGTTGTTGTTCAAATCCACACATTTGGCGGGGGATAAACTCTTAACATAGGCCGCTAATTTATCGTAAGCAAGCTTATCCTGGGCATCTAACTCCTCGAGATTTACCGCATAATATTTGGGCTTCTGCTCGAAATGCTTCCACTACCACTCGAGGGGAAATTTCTCCTTTAGCTTCGTTACCTCCCGACCATCCTTAGTCTCGACTGAACAATCATACAAGGATCCCACATCCGCTTCGGAAATAGGCTTCACGACATAGAACCTTTCCTTGAAATGTCCAAGTATGGTCGAAACAACTTTCCGAACTGCTTGAATAACACCCATGCCTGGTGGCCATTTACCATCTACCGCTGGAGGTGGAAGATTCGAAAGAACAAGGTTAAGATAGACCCAATCTCAAGGTATCAACAAACGGTCTCAAATGCCCATATAAACGCAAGCGCATTCGGGTGGAGCTGAGAAGGTTCCAGGTCTAGACATTTGAAAACCCCCACCTAGAAATTCGTAAAAGGTAGGCGCATCCCCGCTTCCTTAAAAGCAACTCATACATGGGGAAGCGCTTTCCTGGGAAAGCAGAGCAAATCCTTTTGTGCTTGTTCGGAATGTGAACCAACCAGGAGGCCAGAGAGTCATCTCCCCTATCCTCGACAATGTTGAACGCGTGAGAGGGTTCATGAACAAACTGAGACATCAGATTCTTGGGTTTGGGCACAACCCAATCTAGGGGGTTCCACGTGCCAACATTTTCCTCGCCATTAGACTCAGGAAAAATAACTTCTTCGACTGGTTGAGCCATCTTACCTAAAAATCATGGGAAAATGGTGAGTTTGACATCATCAAATCCATCCTTCCATTGCAGGTCAAGTGAAAGGGTGATAAGCTCCTCGGGGGCAGGTCCTCGACTCAAGCCCTTGATGGCTGCACGAGAGGAAACGACTCCTCTCGGTTAAGCAAAATCACGAGGAAAAATCCCCGACACGGACCCGTATGAAGCTCATCTAAGATTCATGGATCTCCATCCGGAATTCATGAATCTTCATACGATATTCATGAATTTCGTATGAAGATTCATGGATCCTCACCCAGAATTCATGAACCTTTATACGAAGTTCATGAACTTCATCAGAAAACCCATGGATCTTCATCCGTAATTCACCAGAAACTTCATTTGTTCATCTAAAATCCTAAAGTAGATTAACGTATTCAAAGGAAATCAATTAATTGGAGAAAGATGAGTGTTGGAAAAATATACGGTGGCGGCGGTGACAGTAGAGCAGATTGTGAACAAAGGGGAAGCAAGAGTGAAAATGCTTAAGTGGATTCCCTCACCTCCTTTTATAGCTAGTCCCCACCATACAGGGCAGCGTGCAAGGAATCATCATTGCTTAGACCCCTAGGCTTCCCCAGACAATGATGGCGCTCCAAATAGCCACCACGTGTGACACGCACAGTGATGCGCCGATGACACCAAAATGTCACGCGTGAAATCATGCGATGACACTATTTCAAAGTCTTCATTGTCTAACACATGCTTAACATCGTTGTGGCACTTTTTCCTACGGGCACCTCGAGGAGGCAAGTTCGGGGAAAATTTATAGCTTTCCCTACAAATGTAAAGTCCCATGCGAGGGATCGCGTGAGGACGGACATTCAACGAATCAACCGAGGAAATTCCTCCCGCGCACATGCTTGCACCGCACACGAAGAGTTGACAAGGAGCTTGATAATCTGCCAACCGTGTCATCCCCGACCGAAATATGATGACTATTTAATGGGTCGTCCCCGAGCGTGTGGGGCAGAAGTTAAGTCCCTTGTTGGGAAACCTCTCCCCGACAGTTAGGTTATTCCTAAAGTAATCACTCTTTTGCCCAAGAGCAATAGCTTGATAGCTCCTGCTATGGACTGGGCTGGCGCTTGGTCCACCATGGAGCAGCACCAATCCAACACCTCTACTATAGTCCAATAATATCCAGCCCAGGTCACTATCCGTTAGGGATGTCCCCACGTGCCCACGAGAGAAACGTGGTCAACGACTATCTGAAAACCACCATCCTGCTCATCGAGAATAACAAGCCTAACTTCTATATTATCTCGGGACAGTTGACCAGGAGGAGGCCACGCGCTGGACTCTGTTAATCATGTAACCTTGACAGTCTTTGTTATTGGGCCTAACTACTTGGTCCAATACGTGGATCTTGACCCAACGCTGAGGGCTATAAATACCCTCTCAAATGAGAGGGTCGGATATCCATTCATTCAGCACACTTTCATTACTTGCGCTTACTCCGAACCTTATTTTAGCATCTAAGTATCTTACATATACCCTCGCTTTACTTCAACAGCCGTCCAAATCTAATTTATGAACTATCGACGATCATTTCTAATCAAATACGTTCCCAATGTAAAAAATAATTAGTTTATGACAATTTAAAAAATAATAGTAATAACTATCTGAGCTCGAAAGAATAAATAAATAAAATAAACAGAAAAGAAGGACCATTTTTAATTCTCAGACATTTGGTAAAACCGCGAGAAGAGAAGGTGAAAAGGAATTGAGCAGAAAACAGGGTTTGTACTAGCAACGACGATTGTTTTTTTTCTGGAGTGAAGGAGAAGAAGAAAAAAAAGCAGATGGGTAAAGGTAATCCACAGAAATCAGGAACCAGCGGCGACCTTCACGCGGCGGCAAGGTCCGGCGATCTCATATCAGTTCAGTCAATTTTGATTTCAAATCCTTTGTCCGTCAATTCCAGAGATAAGCATTCCAGAACACCGTATCCTCATTCCCCTCTCTTTTATATTTCAATTATCAACGCTTTATAATTAAATCCTAATATTCACTTACCGACACCTCTGAAAACCGTGTCTGCACCAGCACTAATTATCTTTAATTATCATGATTCATATCATTGCAACCACTTAGTACCTTTTATGTCCTCTTTTTTCTGTATATTGTATATTTTGCTTGCTAATTCTTGCATTGTCATATTATTTCTTTAACGAACAACTGTGGGTTATAGACTACATTTAGCAGCATTTTCTGGGCAAACTGAGGTAGTCAATTACCTATGCAAGAACAAGGCTGATGTTGGTGCTTCTGCTATGGATGACATGGCCGCAATACACTTTGCGGCACAGAAGGGTCATTTAGAAGTTGTTCGGGCTCTGGTTTCAGCTGGTGCCTCTTTCAAAGCTGCTACTCGAAAAGGTATGACTCCATTACACTTTGCTGCTCAAGGTTCCCATCTGGAACTTGTCAAGTATTTGGCTAAGAAAGGGGCGAGTCTTGGTGTTAAGACAAAGGCGGGAAAGACTCCGTTGGATGTTGCTACCAATGATGAAGTCCGCACGTTTCTGGAGGGGTTTGTGAAATCAGATAAGAATGGCGAATCGGGAAATGGAGATAAAGCCAAAGAATCTGATCGAAAAGAAGGTGAAGAATCTGAATCCAATCCAAATGCAGCTGAAGAATCTGATCCAAAAGAAAAGGAAGAACCCAAAGGTGATGAACCTCGTACAGCTGCTGTTGATGAAGAAGACGGAGAGAGAGGGAAGAGGAAGGTTGATGAAAATGATGCAACAGACGACTCGTCAAAATCAAAAAAGGCAAGAGTTAAGTTAAGCCACCTTCAAAGCTCAGATGATGCCGAAGAAGAAAGCTGAAAACATTTAGGTTACAGGCATGATAGAAGGGAAATTTTGTTTGCATGCTTGTAATAGTATTATAATTTTATCATTAACATTGTGTTTGCATATTGAGTTCCTTTTATGCAGAGACCATGACTGTATGTTGTTGAATACTAACTATAGCAGTGCTATAATTCTCATATTGTGGCCTAATTTTTTAAACAAGTTGTTATTTTCTGTGATGACAACAAAAAAATTTACCCACCAAATAGTGCACTGCATTGAGCATGGAAATAAACCAAGAAGTTTGCCATAATTTGTCATAAAAATATAGATGTTACCTTGTAGGTCTAGCCAAAACAACCGACCCATAATTGGAGAAAAATAAATCTCTACTTCACAAGCTGCAAGATGGATTCTGTTCGAATAAGTAACATACATTTACATGGCTGAGCATCTATTGAATTACAAAAAAATCTCTACCGAACAAAGTTCTTTACAACTCATTCAATCTCACTTTATTTCCTAAACAAATTTTCAATTGCTTTTCTTTAAGCCTAGTTTGTGATGACAAATCATTTAACAAAAAGGAAACATTTCCTACAACTGTTTCTATTGTGTCCCATTGTATTAACCAAAAATCATAATGATATAGATCTCACTGCATAATGCAGAATTAACCATTCCAAAATCAAAATATTCAAAATAAGGTGCTGAAACTTTCAATGGGATCTAATTCTTCCAGCATGGAAGCTGCCTGGAAGCAGTCTGCAGCATCACTGATTCGGCCATCGTGCTTGTGAACCAATCCCAAGTAATACCAAGCCATCCGGTTGGTTGGTTCTATTCTAAGCGCATCAGACAGCATGCTTCTTGCAGCAGGCAACGCCTTTGTACCCATTTTGTGAATCAAAGCACTCATTAAGATTTTGCTAGGAATGTGGTTTGGTTCAATTAGTACAGCATTAATAGAAGCATTGAGAGCTTCTATATTCTGGCCACGTCCTTCGAACAAAATACCTGATATAGAAGCATACAAAAGAGTAAATAAACATCATACAAGTTGATAATTCTAAGCTCTTATTGACAAAGGATTTAGCCTTGCCTTCAGTGTGCAAAATTGCTGCAGAGTACTCCTTCAACTCTCTCGCCTTTTGCAAACAGATTTCAGCATCCTTCCAATGAGAAAGGCTGGCATATAAATTTGCAAGGCCGTGCCAAATATCGAATTCATTAACTTTATCATCTTCAACCTATAACGAGTTGACAAAATGAAAGGAAAAAAAATTGATTTTGCAGAGTCGGTATTTAATCAAAAAAATATCTTGATCGTACTTCAGAGTAATTTGGAAAGAATCCCTCGAAGAAGATATAAGTAGACGGCAGAATCTTACCTTTGAACTAATTTGGAAAGACCCGGAGGATTTCCTCTGGGCTTGAACCAATGCAAGAAGGTAGCGATAAGTTTCAATAGCATCCATCGGTTTTAATTGGGAGACCTTCAGCTTTGCTTTAAGCTTAAGCAGAGACCCCTGCTCCCATCTCGCAGTCTGATCTAAACCAGCATCTGTCACCACTTCAGCTTCCGGAAATCTTTGCTGTGCAGACAAAATCAGAGCAAGCAATATCCAAGCTTTGATTACAGAGCCACCAGTTTCATTGAAGAAATGCCGCGCGGAACGCAAAGCAGCAGTCAAATTTCGATGCTTCGCATACTGAACAGCCAATTCAAAAATCAGATCAGCGTTGTTCTTCTCCAATTTAGTTGCCTCCTCTAATGACTCCAGAGCTTTGGACTGAAGCCGAGACCTTTCGAAATCTGAGGAAGCAACCTTAGCTTGCTTTCCAAGACAAAGTCCCAATATCCGAAGAGCAACACCTTTTAAATGCTCATTCGGACCATGAGCATTACTGAATGCTCTCTGTGCATGGCCGACTCCCTCGCCAGCAAGATAAGGATCTTCGCTGCAGATCTTAGCAGCTAATAATAACGATGTAAGGTCATCCGGACGTTCATGTTTGTGCAACGACTTTCTTAGCAGATTCAAAGCACTGACATTTTGCCCGGCTGCAAAATGACATAAAGCTAAAGAATTCCAACGATCAATACGATGGTATACTCCAGGCATCAGGTCTTCGAATTGCTTTGCTAAAACAGAAGTTTGGCTACATATGGAAAATGCAAAAGTTAGGTGTTCCATGATTGAAGGATCCCATTTTATCTTGCCATTACAAAACTTCCTTATAAGAATCATTAAAAGCAGAATCGCCTCTTCGAGATTATTTTTAGGCACATAAGAGCCGTCAATCTGAACGGCTAAACTGGGTGGACTTGCCTCCACACCACTGTACAGAAGAAAAACAACAAACGATTTCTGAATTCTTGAACAACATTCATTATCAAGGTTCCATTGACTAAGAAGGGCACGCCTATAAGCAGAGATTGACTCATCGTAGCAACCTCCTTGTTTCCAAAGCTCTGGAAGGAGCTCTACTGCATGACTAACTATCTCTTGCAATTTGTTGTCCACTTGAAAATCAAGTATACCCTGATAAAATATCTTCTCAACGGCATCAAGAATCTGTTTACAGTCATTAGCAGCTTCTGCAGAATACAATTCAAAGAAGTATTTCAATGGTTTACCAGTGACATAGACACGAACACGGCATTGACACGGGTAATAATTTAAAAATTTTAAAGTGATTGACTAGAATATCTATCAGTGTCGTGTTGATATTAGACTCAAACACGTGTCAGACACTGGACATGCCTGCCTTCTATCTGAAGTGTTGGTGCTAAGTAGATTACTATAGAAGGAATCATTTCCATTCAGAAGCGAAAGCAAAATTAAGAAATTAACAACACGTGGAGAACAATTTTCAAAAACAGTCGAGGATAATTTTTATACTATCATCTTTTTTTGGGGAAAAAAAACAATACCAGCAAATTTCCCAAGTTTTTGTTGAGACTTGGATTTTAAGTAGATGGCTTCAAGCACCAAACTAGCAGCATGTTGAGAGACTGAAGAAGGTGATTCTGTGCGAGGGCGGCCTTTTTTGACGGGTGGCTTTTCAGACAAGGAAGGTTGCAACCGCTGGATTGCAGCTTGGAGATCGATTCCATCAAAGACACGAAGAGCGCCTTCTACATTACCTCTCTGATACTCCAACTTCCCAAGAAGAGCCCTTGCTTCCTGTTAAAGTTTAAAAAAATCATCGGCCAATACTTAGACATCTGATCAATTTATCCACAACTACGATTTCAAAGATCTTGAGAAACAAATCTTTAAGGTAGTTTGCATCAATGTAACATATTTGATCCAACTCATAAACATGGCAAGCACAAGCTAGCAAACTATGTGATCATAAATAAACTGACCTCGAAATTGAGTGACAACCCTTCTCGCAACGAAGATTCCGCCTCTTGAATATTTCCTTCATCAAGCTTAGCCTCAACTTCTGATGTACTCATGCTGCTTCCATTTGCATGAAACTCTCTAACTGATAGACTTTCATGCTCACTGGACTCCATGATTCATCTCCCCAATAACTTCATAGACTTTTTACACTTTCTTTGTCCCTTTGACCCTTCAATGGAACTATAAATCCACCATTCACATTTCAAAAAATATAAACAAAATTCCATAAACGTGCGTTTGGAAGTTTCACAATCACAAAACAGAAAAGAAAAAAAAAAGTTTCCCCATTTCCCACGGTAACGGATCCAAATTCCAAACAATGCCTAATAGAATTTCAAATATCCAACATAACTCATTATTCGTGTAATGGGGTTCCATAACAATGCAAAAAGAATCAAACTTTGGAAACAAAATTCAAAATTGTAAACATAAAATCATTGGGTAGAAAAAATTTGCAGATCCGAGAAACCAGGTTTGAAAAATGGAAGAAGAGACAAGATTTAACGACTTACCAAAGCAACGTGGCTGGGGAGCAATGGTGAGAGATGCAACAGTGAAATCAAACAAGATCTAGGGGACCCTTCATATTGATCAGCATTTGCATCGAAAGAAGTTACCCTATGCTGTTGTTTATGTTAATGTTTGTTTTTGTCTTGTTTGAAAAAAGACAAAGACAAAAGGAACAGAAGAAGAGTGGTGGGTGGTTTGAGGTCAACCGCTATCAAAGCACAAACGCAAAATCTAGTAAGAATTTGTAAAAATGGGATGTGAAAAAAAGTTTAACATAATGGAATTTTTATTTGATGTAGCCATTTAGAAATAAATAGGTAATTTGGTTATGAAAATTGTGTCAAAATAGAATCATATACTAAATTATAGTTTTTACAAATTGGTAAATTAAATATGAAATTATTATATGTTAATTAAAATTCTATTTGCATTGAGTACAATAGAGGTTATTTTCTTGCGATGAGATGTGCAAGAGAGTTTTGTGTTGATATATAAAGAGTGGATGAAATATTCACTTGTCAAGTAAGGATATTTATATGTTCGACTATCTGATCTAGGAGTTATTGAGAAGACTAGTTTTAGTGTTTATAAATTCGGTCATGCGCCCCTTTCTCGACCTGACAAAAGAAGTGAGTCACCCCATAATAGGGTGGTTAACCTATGATATTATGGATGACTTCAGTTACTCTCTAACATGTGACTCAAAACGTTCTTCCACGAATCATGATTGAGAAGAATTGAATCGAGAAGGATCACATGATCGCCACCTGATCATGCCTTTTATGCCCAATTATGCTTCATGTTACTTATGGACTATATAGTTGGTGGGATGGAGTCTTTGAGGCTCAACTAAAGTTATTTCGTTTTACAGTTCCCCAAGCACGAAGCCTAGAAGAAACATGTGATTAAGGTAAGATATCATATTTCACAATCACTCAAGCAAAAAGCTTGGAAAAGCGGTGTGGTTTGAGTGTGTTTACTAGTGTCAAGGGGCGAGTCTTGTTTTATATGGTGTGACGTTCCATGGTATTGAGCCCATGCCTCTTTTATGAGTGATGATAGAGTTTTTAGATAAGCGAAAAAATATATTTATTTATGTTTCTAATA